AAATTCGCTTAGTCGTTGTTGGGTAAGAATGGCATTAGAGGTGTTGTGGATCGATGGAAAGCAAGGCACGCAACACAAATGTTGTTAGGGAAAATCGGTGCATTGATTGGAATGTGGTGGATGAATCTAGGCGCACAAATAAGCATTTGGTTTGAATGAAGTAGGGTCTGTATTTTCGTAATCGCGCGTCTCACAAAAAATGGTTTGACGCATCAACAGGGTTGGCATAAGCTGAAACTAGAGACTATCTAATTGTTCACTTCAATCTGCACTTTCTCTCTCTCTTGTAGTGTTGCTGCGAAGGATTCTGCACGAAAGAGGACTATGAAGAGATCGATGTAATTTTTTCTACTCTAATCTCCTTATTTGCTTTCAAGTTGCCATTACACTATCTATTACCGCAATTATTATTTTTGTTCATATAGGCTTTCTTCAAACAACATCCGGTTTCCTGTGCTAGGGCAGTTCAGCAGGCGTTAGAATCAATTCAAGTGAACATTGGCATCCTAGAAAGAGATGCTGAACTTTTGGGTCGCTTTCTGGTTGAATTCATGGGTCACGCTAATGATTCTCAACCATAGCCGTGGTTCGCTTTCGTTTCCTAAATTTGTAAGTTTGTAAGTTGTCTTTGAAGACACGATTTTGGTTCGTAAATCTGTTTTTTAAAGATATTCTATTTGCTTTACCACGGCGTAGTGGAAACGAGGTGGAGATGGTGCATGGATTCTTAAATTGGTATTGCAGTGGTTAGCGTATTAAGGGGTGAATTCAGTGGCCATTGGTGCACACCAAATGCGCGGTGTCTCCGGCCACACTGCGTGAGCCTGACTAGGGAGCAATGATCGTACCTGAGTTTCTTTAATAAAGTTAAGTTTTGAGAATTACTTTCCAGAATGCATCTTGTTGGTTAATGATAAGGGGGAATTCGTTAAGGCGAAATGAGTAAGCAATGGATTGAGGCTTTGTGAGCAGCTACTAGAAAATTGATGAAAAATTTGGGCAGAATTTCAATTTCTGAATCCCAATTTTCGGAAGAGGAAAAGGTTGGAAGGTAGTGTCAGTTTTAAGAGTAATAGTTGAATGCGGACAAGTTTAATGGTGATTGTACTAATTCGGTGCTTGAAAGAGAAATTGGACAAATGTTAAATCGCAAGATTATTTTGCATCCAATTTACTTATTGCCAACTGCAGTGTTGTTGTCGGTGGTAGATTAGCGTTGAGAGTAATTCTAGGAAAACTACAATATCAACCCGAGAAGTGTGCATATATGAAAGTTCGTCAAGTGAGGTGGTGATATTCGTAGCTAGGAGTGGTCAACTTAAGAAGGTATTTAGATAGAGAGAGGTAGCCAATTCATTTCTGATTGACAAACCATTCCTTTTAGAACCCTTTGACCATCGACATAGTTCTAGGCAGGATTTACTAAGGAATTACCCTTGAGCGTCTTATTGTAGATTGTGCACAAGGCAGAATAAAATAGCAATAATTTACAGAAGCCAGGCGGGCAACTAACTTTTCACGATTGCTACACCCATCTTCAGGGCCATAGGGTTATATTTAGGAGTATTTCGAGTCTTCGATAAGCGGAGGGCCATGTTACGTCCTGTTTGACCCTCGTGATGTCAAAGCTGACGTCCTTATCTAATTTTTATCATCCATTAGCATCTTGCCTGTTGTCGTACTTTAATTGCTCAAAGTCGCATGAACTTGGTTTGAGAGTGAAGTAGCGCACATAGTCCAAGAAAAAATGTTAGTAAAGAAATATCGGCATTTTGGGAATAGTCCCTTTTGCAAAGTATTTCAATTTGCATAACGAAAATGTGTGTTCTGACTATTATTATTACAAGTGAAGTGAGGCGTTTCAGCGTGAAAGGGAGTTGGATGTTATTGCTTCCATGACTCGAAGGATGATGTAGAACATTCGAGTTGTACCTCAGATAGTCAATTGATATAAGTGCAATTTGCAAACAAAATAAACACTAAGCCCTTGACCCCTGAGTGACGGTTCAGGTCATGCTTGTGTGAAGAAATTAGGAACCATGAGGTGAGCGGTAGACTTACCTTCACGAATTTTTCTCGCTTTGATGTTCCTCCCCTCTGTGAAGTCCGAAGTCAGCTAAAGGGCTAGTGATAACTATCAAACAGTCTGCCATTTGAAATAAAATAACAGCCAAGACTATCAAAAACAAAATGTGTTTAAAAAACTGTTTTTACTTACGAGAGTAATTTCTAGTTAGGTTTCCCATTAGTTTGTGAAATATAATTGACTTTATCTCAAATGCAAGCAATTTACAACTGGAAGAAAGTTTCAATTAGTTCGAATAAAGCTGATAAAACATTTAATTATTGAAATATTTTACTATTATACATATATATATATTCACTAATACAGATGTTAGGATATAAGCTTGTTATATAAGTGTCCTCATTTATTGATTATAAATTAGAAAGTATTTTAAATTTCCCTCATTTGCCAGTACTCATTACTAATTATAAAATAAGTATTATTTTCAAAACAAAATGAATTCAAAATAGTTGTTGTCATATGTCAAAAAACTTTGTATTTGCAGTGTTATTAATTAATTGATTAAATGCCCATGGGCATATAGTTTTGCAACCGAGGCAATAGTGCACACTCCAGAAATTGAGGTATCTCGCAGAGCCATCAAATGCCGCTGTTACCACGCGCATCCACCTGATTATGCGTTTATTTGAAGCTGTAAATGCATAGTCGATCGGGATAGGCACAGGCAGATGGTATTTTCCATGCAAACATAATTGATTAAAATGGGAAATAAAATAGTGAACCTTGAAATAGATTTAAAAGCAGCTAATAAATTGGTTTTTTCTCAAAATTTAAAAAAGAGAGAACAAAATTTTAAGCAAATGCAAAATAAATATATTTAGTACTTCTAATTGGTAAAACGATTTTATTTACAAGATAAATTAATTCTATGTAAACGGACAAGTTGAAGATTATTAAATTGTGCATTTTAAAATTTCAATAATTTGAAGAAATTATTCGATGGAGGTCCGAAATAGCCCTTTTTGTGTTAAATAACACTGGTCAAATAGCAGTGGATGCAAAATATTAAAATATTCAACTGCGAAAATTATCATTATTAAATTAATTAATTATTAATTTCCAATATACCATGGAGATGAGAAACAAAGCAAAAACATCGCACAAATCGCCTTATCTGTGAGCTTCTGAACTTCAAAAGTTTATTGATTTCGTTGGTTTTAACACTTTAGTTTTTAAGCAAATGGATAATATTTCCAAAGTATGATTAGTGGCTCTTTGTATTGTAGCGGATTGCTACTTTAGTAAAGCCTGACTGACTCAGAAATCTCTATGGCGGATCCCTAAGTAAAGCCTGACTGACTTAGAAATCTCTATGGCAGATTCTCCTGACTCAGAAATCTCTTTGGCAGATTCTCCTACATCTAGACTGACTCAGAAATCTCTATGGCGGATTCTCCAACATCTAGCTACACTCCCAGAACCAGCTAAGCTATAGCCCAAATATAAAGGAAACCGACGTATAGCACGGAGCACAATTATTCAATGAGTATATTGTGGATAAAGTGTACACGCAGGGAGCTACTCATGATCAGGATGGGGGGATTAGGTTAAACAAACGGAGGTTGATGATTGGTCACTCTTTGTACGGTCGCACCTCCCAAACCTGGAGAGCAGACATGCAGGCATACGATGACGCACAACGCGATAACGTGTCCCACAGCATCATGTTCTTTTAACCACAAAATTGAGGTATTGATGATCAAAAATCTTACATAATATATTGTATTTGCTTATATTTAAGCTAATATTGTAAACCAAAATGCCAATCGGAACTCGTTTTTATTAATGTAATTACCGATTCCGATGTCGAATTATATGCAATTGCGTCAATGGAATAATATGGCCTTTTACAAATTTGTGGTAGAAGAAATAAGTACGCAGTTGGAATGCATGTAGACATTGATTAGTTCGTTCTTCCAAAAGATGGAAATGTTATTTTTCGAGTATAAAATTTTCAATAGGTCAATTGTGTTTTTATGGCAGTGTGATTTGGATTAAACGATTCTTTGTTCTATCCGTTTGTCCCATTACCACATGCTTTCTTCAATAGCTTTCATTAATTACTAATTCGGGTTATTTAGTCAAAAAGGTATTTTGGGAGGACTTATAATTCATTTTCACATCGGTGATTTTTTTAGACCGAAGGTGCGGCCTTGCTGCTTGGCACGTAGAGTACTTAAAGACCCCACAAGCAGCCAGCAATCAATACTCGCTGCATGGTTGAATTTTTATCAATTACTAAGCTGTTTGGTAGACATGTATGCCACTTCCATATCGTTGAGGCAACTTAGCTAATTTCAGAATCCTTTCCATACAATGGGATTTTGCCAAAGTGATTACTGAGGATAGCATAAAGGTTATTTGTGTAGAATTTCGCTACAAGTCAATAACGCTTTCTCATTCTTCCACAATTCGGTTACAGAAAATCTTTAGAACTTTGAGGGCCCTTGAAATGTCCTACTTCTAAAAAAAACATGATGAAAATCGGGTGACCTATGGTTATTGTACCAATGCCTTTTTGAACTCTCTCTCTCTGTATGGAAGATCGATTTAAAGACCTGCTGATT